AATAAATACATAAATAAGTCTTTTATAAAATTTTTAATTAAATCTAATTATTGTCTGCTTACTAAAGACATCAATAAGGGAGTAAAATGGCAGTCTATAGAAAAGGAGATGTTTTTAAATATATATCTGGAAAAAAACCCACAACCAGAATACATACAGAATTCCTACCAATGAATAAGATCACCCAATACAAAAAATACATGAAAATTTAAACATATTCTTCATAAAATATATTTAAATGACCAATATACATACAAAAAGAAGAAAATACCATTAGTTACTAAGGAAATGCAATCTGTAATGTAGTCAGTACACACAGACACACACACACACACACACACACACACACACACACACAACCAGAACAGTCAAAATGGATAAAAGTCAACAATAACTTGAACTGTCATACACTGATGGTGGGTGTGAGCTTGTAATAACCACAAAAGCAACTGCAATATCTACTGAAAATGAACACAGGCAACCTGATGAATTAGCAAATCTTCTTTCAGACATGGAAATGTACAGTAATTAGGTTCACCAAAACCAATACGATGTTAATATCAGACAATGGCATCCCCAAACTGGCTACACTGTGGACATATTTTAACTTACTTAACCATTTCCTTACTGTGCGAAATTCACATTGTTTTCCTTTTTCTCTATAGTGAATAATGTTAACACAACTTCTGTTCTTCTGCATTATTTCCTTAGAAGTGATTGAAATTTTTATATATTCTACTAATCCAAATGAGATAATGTTTTAAGTTTCTCAATTTAGCATATCATTAATTATAGTATAGTTGCCTCCTCCAATATCTTCTTTTGGAACTGTAGCTTAGATAAAAGGGCACATAGGTTTTTATTACTATCTATGACAGTGATCAAAGGGTTGTGACAAAAAATTTTACAGCACTTAGATGGACTGAACTATTCATGAAGTAACACCAATCTTCCCTTTACATTTTTCTGAATGGGCTTTCCTTCTCTCTTGTAAAACCTCTACTTTAATGGAAGGCTTTAAGAGCTATCTTCCATACACCCAGCAAATTTGTGGATAAAGAGAGAACTTCATATTGTTTCCATTTCTTAATACAACCTCTCAAAAAGGTGGTGATTCAAGGTCCTGGCTCTTATTAAGTTGACAGCTTCTTTCAGGATAGCTGGCAGCTTTTCATGCCAAGTATGCTAATATAAAAAGCAATGAGTCATAATAAAGTGTAGACTTCAGCAAAACAGCAAAACCAGATGTGCTGCCAAGCATCACAGGTGAGACATACATAGCATACCAAGAAATTTCTTTGAAAGCTTTTCTGGAAAAATAAACTTTTCACCACTGCAGAACTGTTAAAAAAAAAAAAAAAAAAAAAACTTTGACTATTTCCTAAAAAGGCTCACAAATAGGAATTCCTGGATGGGGTCAACTTCACATAGTGGAATAAATTTCACTGCCCCCAGAGAACTGTTAAAAAAAAAAAAAAAAAAAAAAAAAAAAAAAAACAACTTTGACTATTTCCTAAAAAGGCTCACAAATAGGAATTCCTGGATGGGGTCAACTTCACATAGTGGAATAAATTTCACTGAGTTACATATGATGAAAAATGGGACAGTTATCAATTTTTCAATGATCTGCATCAAAACATTTTGAAATGATGACAACATTTACAGACAAAACTTTAATACTGCTTCTCTGAATTAGGCCAGAAAACAGCTTGCCCATTACAAGGCACAAAGATTCCCCAGGTCTTCAGAATTATGCATGGACTCTGAACTGTGTTATGGAACAATCTCATACAAGGCTTCTTCATTAAGGACAAAACCCAACGGAAGTCTAAGTTTCCACCAAGCATTCTCACAAAAAACATCCACAGTACTCAATGTATCAATATTTTACTGATGAACAAATAATGAACCACCCTCCGCCTTCCTGATTTCATGTTTTCAGACTGTGACTTTGTTTCACATGAACTCTGTGGCTCTTATGTTCATCATGTAAGAAACCTAGTAATTTAGCAGTTACATAAAATCATAATAAATTATGTTATTAAAGAATATTACACATTATTATCCCTTGCTAACAGGAAATGACTGCCCAACTGCCAAAAGGGCCTAATCAGTCTAAAACACATTCTAATGAGTTAAAGATGCTAAAAAATGATTCCTTGAGAAACCATTCGCGCATTCAGTTCTTCCTATTAATCGTTCCCTAATACCATCTCTTGGGGAGGAGGGCAAGGAACACCTATACATCAAAAACCAAAACTCTGTACCAAAACAGAAACTACTGTTACAAGGAAATGTAGCTCATTTGGGCCTGCCTCTTTTCTGAAAATGCATTTGAAAATGATAAAGGAAAAAGAGTTCATTACTGTTATCACTGGAATCTTGGTGCTCCCAATGTATTTGTTTCTATCCTATAATTCTCCGAGGATCTACTTTAATGTTAAATGACTATTCACTATTCATGAATATCTTCATTTCTCCATGATGTTTCAGAAAAATTAATTTTCTACCACTAACTATAGACTACTACCAAAAATAAAGGGCAAGTGGGCTATGATAGGGGTTAAGGGCAGAAGAAGATAAACTAAAGTGTAACAGGAACTATGATCAGTCAGCTCCCTTGACCACTCTGCAGCTTTCTGGTCACCCATGTGAAGAGAGAGTAAGAAAAAATAACAACAGTCGAAAAAGGGACAGCTGAGATGTATTAAATATCTATTATATGCTGAATGCTGCACAGTACTATTTTACGTAACCATCAAAAGGTACAGAAGATGAATTTAAAGTCTGGGCAGGTCCAATGACATACGGAAAGGACTCTGAACAAGTAATCTCTGAAATTGTGACTAGAACTTAGTGAACACTATAAAATCTGTGCTCAAAATTGTTCTCATTTCACTCTTCTTTTCTAGCAATCATGCCACTATTTACTGTCCGAAAATTAAAATTGTATCTTCATTTAAAATATAATAATAATAATTATAGAAAATTTAAAAAATACCCAAGGGTAAAGACTACAACAATTTCCATGTGCCCATTACTCAGCTTCACCAATGTACCATTCTTGTTTCGCCTATCCATCGCTCCATTTCCCCCCACAAATATTTAAAAATAAACTCTAAATATTTCATTTTAACTTCAGTAATTTTCTAATAAATTAGAACTTAAAAATATAATTATAACCATCATCATATTGAAAACAATCATTCTTTACAGTCACTGTATTCTTGACTCCTCTGAAAACTTTGCTGATAATCTTAAAAATGTCTTTCAGTTGATTACCTTGAATCAAGACTCAAATAAGGGCCACATATATATCTTCCAGAAGTACAATGATTCCCTCCCCCTCCTCTTCTTTCTTTTTTTAAAACTCTATTTATATGTTGAAGAAACTAGGTCATTCATTCTGTAGAATTTTTCATACTCTTAATTTAATCATTTTCAGCTGGCATAAAGTATTTCTAACTCCTTTACTTCCTGTAGAGTGCTCAAAGTCTTGACCAAATTGTGGTTCACCTTGTTGTTTCAAGAGTGCTCTGGTGATACTGTCGACTATTAGTATTACGGTAATGGTGTTTCCATTTGCTCAGGTGATTTGCGTTCTTAAAAGTTCATCTGACACTGTATATACATGGAACTACGCATGTGGTGATCAAACTACCAGGTTAATCTATTAAGTCTTGACCAAGAACAACAGAGGTAGTCCATGAGTAGGCAGAGCAACAGGGCTGGAATTTCATTTTGGTAGATGAAGAGCCAACAATGAGAGAAAAGAAACAATGATTTGATCGGAGATGGAGAGGAAGCCAGAGAATAAAAATACTATGATACTTAAAAACAGGATACTAGGTTCCTATTATATCAATAGTTCTGAAAGATATTTTGCATACTGGTCTAAAAAAACTCACAGAAAATTCAAGAGTTCATTTTATAATGTTAGTTCATCAAAACGCCTTACAAAATTTTCTACCTTTCTTGCTGAAAAGAAAGATACTGATCTCTAAGCTAAAGGTTCTAAATCTTAGGGACCAGATAGTGGCAGAGGTAAAATGTGAAGCTCTCGAAGGCTTATACAAAAAAGAAGGTTCCAGGTTCCTGTCCAGAAGACTTCCCTGAATACACCAGGTACACACTTGCCCATGATCCAGGGTTGACTGAAGCTGAGGGTGGATCATGGGGTGAAAATCCTATTGCAAGATCTGCGTCTATTATCTCTCACTTGCTCAAGGAAGAAATAAGTAAATTAAAAAAAAAAAAAGTTTTAAAGGTTCTAAACCTTGACTGATTTTCCTGGGAAGCTTAAAAAATAGAGAAGTCTGGGTCCCACTCAATCAATACTGCTCAATTGTTCTAGAATGGGAACCAGGTATGTGGTATTGTTTTAAAGTCTGCTCAGGTGACTTTAATATGCAGCTGTAACTGAGAACTTCTGCTCTTAATCAATAACAAAAATCATAGCTAATATTGACTAAGCATATATTATGCGTCAGGTATGGTTCCAAGCACTTCCTAAGTACTAGTTTATTCCCTATTTTACAACTGAGAGGTCATAACCTGAACAAGGTCCCACAGCAAGCTAATGCTAAGAGTAGGCTTTAATCCCAAGAAATTTGGATCCAAACATCTGCTCTTAATCACCATCTTATATGGCTTGTAAGCAAGAATTATACTTGTATTCTTCAACTGCAAATAAAATTATCAACAGAAAACATTTCAAAAAGGAATAATTACTTATTCCTGGTTAGTACTAGTTGTACAGTGGCATCTTGGGCAAAGCACCAACATAGGTGTATTAGAAAAGTACCTAAACAAAGTAAAGTAACCAAAACCTTCTTTTCACAAGATTCAAATTGGCAATTTCCACACATTTTTCAATAATTTTCCACAGGTTGCCTTATGCGGCATAGTTATTCACATTAAGTATCAAAAATTGCCTCAGCTTTAAAGCTTGGGGTAATGATGTATTTACATTACCTGTGCTTTACAAGAAAATGTCCTACCTATTTCATTTCTGCTGACTCCAATTCCATTAAAAATTCTCAAGTAATTAAAGTGACAAGAATCAGAATCTTCAATGTCCAAGTCACCAAATCTGATGCGCACTCTCTCTCCCATCTTGACGCGAATCTCCCATTCACAAACAGTGCTGTTGGGGTACGTCTGTGGGTAGTTTTTGGATGTAAGAGTTCCGCTTTCAGGGCCCAGCACAGTGTGTCCGCATCCGTCACCTTTAAAAAAAAGTTGGAAGAATGATAAGTTGTTCTTACATTGCTAACTCATAAAGTATCAGGAATTTGGAGAAGGTTTTAAAATACTTATGACATCAGACATTTTATACCATGAACTTCATATACATAAAACAGGCAACATAATTCTTAATGTATTACTTACAGAAGCCAAAAGAAATCAAAATAGGTCACATTAATCAATGATTAGCTATGTAATTCATAAGTTCAAAGAACTTTCCAATCTTAACAAACACAAGTAACCATAATTTAGCAATAGTTCAATATATACATATTATAATACTTGCAATTTTTTTATTTTTGAGTTTTTGCTATAGGGTGCACGCACTCACTGGAGAGACAGAAAGCAAGAAATCATCCCCCCCCAGGGGATGGTTATGCTGCAATCTGTTTTTCTACGTTCTCCTCCTGGGATCTTGAGCACCCACACGCATGTGCCCAGCATGAGTTTTAAGCCACTGAGTCTGGGACTTGAACTGTGGTCATCCATGTGGGAGTCCAGTGATATAACCACTATGCCAACTGCTGGCCCCATCCAATTTTTAGGAATATCAGTTAATAGTAATTGTTCAAAGTAAAGGTAAAATATAAAATATAAAAATGTGTGATCAGGAATAGCAGGTGGCATAATGGTTGCATTGCTGCACTCCCACATAGCAGACCTCAGTTCGAGACCTGACTTGGCAGCTTAAAACTCACGCCAGGTGTGTGTGCATGTGTGCCCAACATCCCAAGGGGAGACTGGAGGAGAAGGGTGGCCATCCCCCTGTGGGGTGATTTCTCGCTTTCTGTCTCTCTGTCTCTCCAGTGAGCACATGCTCCCTAAAGCAAAAATCTCTCTTAAAAAAAAGTGTGATTAGATTTAACTGTTTGTTTATAACTATCACAAACTCCTTCAAAAATCTGTGAGAAGCTAAATGATTTCTAAAAAACACTTCATATACACTAAAGATTATGCAGATTATCGACAATATTATAGATTATAAGGCATTCCTTCTTGAAAGTGCTAAAGCAATCTTCAACGAAGTTTAATTTTATACTCTAATGAAATTTGGCATTTTGGTCTTTGTCCAAAGTCTTATTTATTTTTCCTTATAGAGTTAAAAAAAATGAAATAAAATACAATTTATGCTTTAGTAGAGATTTTTAAATTATTTTTATTTCTATATCTGGGAAGTAACAGTATTTGCCCTAGAAGTTTCATCAGCAACTGGATGTAGACACTTAAGTAACTTAACATATTATGTGCAAAAATGAAATAGTTACATCCTTCTCTTTATCATAAAGTTTTTGTTTTTTGCTGACCATTCAGGAGGAGTCATTGTTTATTTAGAAGTTGCAGCTGCTGCTCTAAAAGTAATATTTACACTAGGTGTAAAAATGAGATTAGAATGAGTCTCTAATAGAATGATGAATGTAACTTTTTAAGATAATAAAATTTTCTTCTTCAAAGAGTTATTTATAATCACCTTTGGAATAGAACAGTACTTACACCAAAAAAGTATTAAAAGTGACATTGCTTGGTTTTAATTTCAATATGTAAACAGATGGCTACAACAGAATTTTCTATTATGCTGTTTTACTATTTTTACTTTTCTTTTTTTTTTGGAGAGGTTTTTGCTATAGGGCACGTGCGCTTGCCAGAAAGACAAGAGAGACAGGAAGTGAGAAATCACTGCCCCCCTCCCCCAGCCCACCCCCCTCCCCCACAAGGTGGCCATGCCACAATCTCTTCTTCTCCATTCTCCTCTCGGGATCTTGGGCACACACACATGCTCCCAGTGTGAGTTTAAGCCACTGGGTCCCGGACTCACACCACAGTCAACTACATGAGAGTCCAGAGACACAGCCATTACGCCAACTGCTGGTCCCTGTTTTACTATTTTTAAAGAACAATGTGGTGCTGATATCAGATGAAAGTTGTGTGTGTGTGTGTGTGTGTGTGTGTGTGTGTTAAGGTGTGTGCCATAAAGTATGTGCACTCCCCAGAGAGACATAGAGAAAGTGAGAAATCAATCCCCAGGGTAGATGGCCACTTAGCAATCCCTTCTCTTCCACTCTCCTCTTGGGTTTTTAGGCATGCATGTACATTGCGACTAGCATGATTTTCAAATCGCCATATCCAGGACTTGAACTGTGGTCGACCACTTGGGAGTTAAGCACCTTGCCACCTGCTGGCCCCAGATGAAAGCTTGTAGAAGTCTATGAATAAGAACTTCAGTAGGTATCTCACAAGTAGTGGATGTTAAATGTTAATTAATTAAATAATTCAAGAAACTGTACTTTAAACTTGATAAAGTGATTTCTAGCTATTCTCAACTTTAATGAAGTAACAATTCTATACCAAATTTATTATGAAGCAGTTAAAAGTTAAATCTTTTGCTGATAAATTTTATTTGTGAATCCATATTAGTATCGCCCCTTAGTCTACTTTCAAAGGTCATACTAGAGACTCTGGCTTCCTAAACAAATCTCTCTCATACATAAAGCTTAGCCTTTAATCAACATTAAATTTTAGCTATCTTCTAAACCTGCTCTCATTCCACACACACGTTAGGTATAGCAGTTTAATAGTACAAAAATACGTAAAAGCGGATGAAATAAGCATGAGTGTATCAATATACTCACTGATCTTTTGCAAATATAAAACTCAGAATGTTATAAAATACAACCCCCCAAAAAATCCGCAAATGTTCTCCGAAACTACCATGAAAATACCTTGAATAGCTGTGTTGGATATAGCTAAATTAAAAACATAGGGATATAAAAACTTCCATTGTAAAAATAAACAAACTGTAATACAAATAACTTTTGAGGCAAACATTTTTCCTTAGAGAAAAAAATGATCTTGAGAGTTTCTAACATTCTGAAACTAGTTGAAAATATTCTCTTACTATTGAAAAGATGAAAACATGTTCCCTGGAAGTGTTTCAAATAAAAAATAGCTACTGAATAAATAAAATAGTTCAAAATATAAATGTATTTTCAACAGTAAATAGAAACTAAGGCAGTTTTGCTTTCTTTCTTTTCTTTTCCTTTTTTCTTTTTCTTTTTCTTTTCTTTTTTTTTTTTGGAGAGGTTTTTGCTATAGGCCACGGGTGCTCGCCAGAAAGACAAAGAGAGACAGAGAGACAGAAAGCAAGAAATCACCCCCCAGGGGGATGGCCATGCCGCAATCCCTTCTCCTCCATTTTCCTCTCAGGATCTTGGGCATGCACACACACGCGCCCGGTGTGAGTTTAAGCCACCAGGTCCGGTACTCGAACGGCGGTGGACTACATGGGAGTCCAGCGACTTAGCCATTACATCAACTGCTGGTCCCTAAGGCAGCTTTTTAAGTGACTGGGGTACTGATGAATTTCAGAAAGCCAAGAAATTCCTATTAACAGCTGAATCCATGACCTGGCAACGGCAGACTGTCACATTTCATGTGTTCCCATAGGCTATTATTCAACTTAAAGTTGTCATTTTTAAAATAAATTCTACAAAAAAGAATGCAAGCAGGGTGTTAGGAATAATTTTAGATGTCTTTATACTCCTGCTTATGACTGATTCTCAAGAAACACACAAATGTTTCTTCCCTTTTCACCCATCAAGCACAATTTCTACACAAAGTTAGCAAAATAAACATTAACTGATGAAACACTTTTGTATGCATGCTGATGAAGAAAAATTAAAATGAATCAGTCTTTTTTCAGAATTCTGTGTAGGGAGGACATGAACAGTTCACAAATAATGTGCCAAGAATGTTCTAAAATATGCGAAGGCGCTCAGAGCCTCCTCCTCTAGCAAACAAGACGATATGCACCAGATACCCAAGTTCCCAGTAAGTCTTCAATCTACTGCACTGAACACATTGGAATGTCTTATATTTCAAAGAAGATTTGATATTTTCAACTTGAACAAATAGCTTAAACTACACACCCACTGTTGCGAAGTTTTTAGGGTATCCTAATTTGAATGGGAAGGCTAGGCATATAGCCAAGGGACTTCCACAGGTCTGTGGGAAAACGAAAAAAGTTTATTCTGAGTTCATTCTGATGCAAAAAAATTTTGAAATCCCCCTTTTTTTCCCCATAATATGCAATTTTTTGAAGACTCCTTGTACATATTTAGTAGGCTGGGAGCTTTTCATGTTCTTCCCTGTTTCCTCAAGTAAGAAAGACATTTTACACTG